TAGTTTTTGCAATGTATTTTCTTTCGAATATTTCTTAGAGGCATAAATATCATATTCGTTCGCGCGTGTTGAAGTACACAAGGCCTTTAGTCTGTTATCAGCACGTCATATGTTTCTGGTTACTGTTATCGTTAACATGCCTTCAACGAACATTAATTAAATATATAATTATAGATTTTTGCGAGCAATTTACGTGGCTCTAAATACAGGAAGCTATCGTAGTCGTTTAAATATAGAATTCCGTCTACAAAGTTTGAGCATTGTTGTTAATATTATATATTGACAAACGGCTGTCCTTACCATGTTTGACGTAATTGGTGTGTTGCAATTTGGTGTAGTGACGCATCGGAATAACAATAGTGATAGTAAAGGATAATAATGATAACTATTTGGCTGTCGTAAAGTTTTGTCGTTATTCCATGCTAACAGATTACGAAGAGCTAGACAATGTCGTATGTTCTCGAACATACTTATGTGAAAATGTTCACCTGTTATAAAAGTTATTGAGACTTCCACATAGGCAAGTAAGACCTTAGAATAGTAAGTATCAGACTGAATAAGTAAATAATCCGCCTTTACGAGCTGATATTGTCTCGAGTATTCATACTCTATGTCTCGCGAAAGCATGTAATTAAAGCACGTAAAAAAATTTAGCGATTAAAAAACGTGTGTGCGTGTAAAATATTCAAAATCTTAGACCTCTACCTTCACAAATTTGGTATTGAAAACCGTTATTATACATGTATATAATTACTTGATGAATTATTATTTGGACTTTTGCCTTTAATTTTCCTTTTTTTGTACCGAAGTTTGACACAAATTTCCAGTTCAAGGATACGCACGATAAAATGTTAGACTGCGTACAATATTAACGTGCTTTGCGAATTAATTAAAATAAAACAGTGGCGACATATTGGGTATTAAAGAAGTCTGGACAATTGTGTATTGTAACATACACAAAATTTACATACACAAAAATGTTCAATAATTGGAGCACCATTGCAACGGCATAGTCTTGAGACCAAATCAAGTAAAAAAGTCCTGTGCTACTTTTCCCTCCGACAAACAGTTATCGAGATAGCATTTTATCTTGAATATCTCAAAAAGTATTAGGCAAATAAAAAAATGTTTCAGACAAAAGTTGTTCACATTAATTAGTAGGATAAGATAGTATATTAAACAATAGGGGTTTCATTAAAAAAAATTGAAGGTAACCTTCACGTGGCCTTCAAGCAACTATTCAAGGTCAAATTAATGACACCATCTTATGTCCTCGGAACCAAACAATTTTTGTCTGAAACATTTTCTAGCGAAACTCTTCCTTATCGAGATATTCAACCGTGTCCAGACTTTTTCAACACCCGGTATGTACGCAAGTATTGCGCGATAAATGGGAAGTGTAGAGCATTAAACATAGCAACTCGTATCATTATGCGAGTGAGCTATAGTCATTTAAGAATCTTTACATAGCACAGAAAAATCTCTCTATTAAGATCTCTTTAAAAAATATATTTATTATGATTACGAAATCTCAAACTAAGACACCAAAATTAAATGTCTACTTTGAAATAACTGAAGCGTAAGATTGTTTTTGCATTTTCCACTTTTCATTGATAAATGATCGTAATTGTAACGAACTTAAAGATGAAAAAATCTTTAGTAATAGTTTGTAAGCAAGAGATTTTTCGAGGTTTCTCGACGTATCAATTGACGTAATTAGGATTAGCAGTTATTTCGTGTTTCCAAAAACGTAAAGCTCGTAATAGCTCAGTTGGTAGAATTATATCAATTCAAAAGAAATCTATAAGTCGCTGGTTCAAACCTATAAAGCAACTCTTGTGACACATACAAGAGTTAATTGACTACTCTTCTTGACAAACAGTCCCTACGCATATATAGCGTATCCTCCCTTTCTCCTCTCCCTGATGCACGATCTATACGATCTATAGTCGTAAAGTCGCAGGATACGGTCGTAGAGTTGTATCAATGGCCATGGTCATTGACCATGGTCGTTGGCCAAGACATCACCGATGTGACTCTACGACCTATGACTTTACGACTTCTATGTAGACGAACTTAACTCGTAAAACCTCGTAAACAACACTCCGAAAGCTCCGGCTCTCACCGCGAGAGTGATAAGTTAGTTGTAATATAATTTTCAAGATTAGACCCCTTTCTACCCAAGAATCATCGCCTATGCGAGACTTCGAGTCAGATCAAAAGGGTCGTTATCGAGGTAAGGAAGCTCTCGTTTCGTACGACTTGTGTCGGCATGAGCCCGAGAAGTCGCATTACGAGAATCTCGCCTTTTGACCTCGTAATAAAAGCAATATCCGCCTGAGAGCCCGTTTCCTGACGTTTCCTGACGCGAAAGGTTTTCTGGGTGCAACCGCGTTGAATCGTCATAGAAACTCGCATTTTTTACACCCAGTCACAAATAGGACCGTATTGTTGGATCCTATATCTGCGCGCATTACTTTGCAAAAGTGGGTTCTTCGACTAATTCCAGGTCGATTTTTCTTCAGCGAAAATGTCAAGGAAGGTCGCTGTCTACGACAGTTCTAAAATTTTTTAACATTTCCACATACAATCGCCACGCTCGATCGTAGAGTTTTCGATCGATCAAACTAATACTTTGGAACCACGTTCAGAACAACTAGAACAACCTGGAACTACTCGAGGGGGAAACCGTTGATTAAAATCTTGTACACCAATGCCCACTAATGCCCAGCGGGCATTACTTTATCTTAATATGTTATTTTACCTTATTTATCTTGTCTTATCTTATTTTATCTTATTTTATCTTTATAACGCCCCAACAAGGCCTAACATCCAAATTAATGCTCCAAAAATGCCTAGCAAGCCGCAAATCTGTACACCACAATACCCTCAGCGGTTTCTCCCTCGGAACAACCTTTAAAAGTTCGATTTTCGCAGAATGAGGTGCCAGGTCAAAAAATTGTTTCGTTAGGTTTTCCATGAAAATTCTTATTATACATTTTAGAACAAGTCTAGAATAAAATAGGACAACTTTTAGAATTTTAAAATTGCAAAAATGCTAGGTGCCAAGTTCACGCAGGTGACCGAGTTTCGAATTAAAACCTTTAATCCTTTGCGCTCTGCAGATTTTGCACACATGTCAACAGTGCACCGTAATGTTATTTTATACGCGCGGGTCATAAGTTATATATGTGTCGTATAGCTCATACTTATTTATTATTGTAACTGCTAGTTTACTTCGTATGTGGAATAGACTGCTAAAATTCTTCAAGCCAACTAGACTGGTATTTGGGGAGCACAGAGGGAAACTTAATGATAGGATGTGAAAATTAACGTAATACTACAGTATATCTACTTTGAGAATCTCTCGAGGAGTTTGGTACAAATCGTATCCTAATGTTGCCAATTATTCCGATTGATCAAGAGATACGTTACAATACTGCAATCGTTCAATCACAGATTATTTCTCGCGAGCGCTCTCGACGCTCTAGGCCTATAATGAGCGTAAACTACCATTTTCTGCATCGTCGGGTCGTAATTTGTTCAATAAACGTGGACGACACTTAGCTTTAGCGCGCCGAGCTCGACTTGTCGGGCAGAGGTGTCTGGCACAGCCGTCACCTTTCCCATGAAACGCGTTACGTATCGCGTTAAGCATGGTCCTTGATGTTAAACATTTATGTCACATTGTTCCGACGTGGTATAGTTGGTGCGCTAATCGAAAGTAACGCGTTATATCTAACCGGCTTGGCGTGGCTTGGCGTGGCGCGGAGCGATGCATTCCGTTGGGATGCGTTGTGGTCTGACACTCTGACGAGAGTTCGCGTCCGAACGAAACGCCGTGGCTGACGTGTTTTCAGAGATGCCGAGTGAGACAAAGGTAAAAGGAGAGACACGTCATAAGGATGTTACGTAAGAAACCATTTTTTCACTCGAGGATATCACAGCTATAATACATTCACCACTCGAATCGTTGTCTTCTCGCGGCATAGGAGAAAGGCGGAAGGACAAGCGCGTCTTAAAAAGTATCACACAGGGGAGTAAAATATTTTGAGGGAGGTCCAGGTTCAAATCCTCTTGGTTGAGGTAATGTTTTTCGCAACAAATTTTCGCCAGTTTTGGCCGAATAATATTACTTGTCTGTTATTTAATCGCCGGCGAAGAAAATATCACTCGCGTGTAAAAATATTTCACTTGAGCGTGATCGGTCGCCGTTGCACGTTGAATTTTATTTGGCCGATCGCGCAATCAGCCTGGTCGCGCGAAGCGAACATGAGCTCCTGAATGATAGTAGTTCTGGCACAGCCGCGTCTATCGATGACGCTTCTGACTACATTCTCGCATCGTGCGGAGTGAGTCTTGGTTCTATCCGCGGATCAACAGTCATCTCGTCCAGTCGCGGTCAGCTCGACTTAGAACCCGCGCTTTTTTTTCTGGTCGCGCTCACCTTTTCCCTTTGTAGGACGGTAAATGTCTAAAAATATCGCGCTTTGCGGGGCGTGACGCGTAATGAGCGCCCCGGGTAAACGTGCGTCGTTCGCAGATGTGTGTCACGTGTAATAACAGTTTTTATTGGTGCGCCGATCATTGGGTCAAGTAAACTTTGATTTTCAGGTAAAGAGTCAAAGCACTTCAGAGAAAAACGAGAAGGGCGTCACGCACCCTCGAGATTACGCATCGCAACTTGAAAAGATTACATCGACGTCGGTGTTACGATGCGGAGGGATAGATAGTGTCACTTGTACTTTACACGCGGACGCGCAAAGCAATTTTTTTATCCCGCAGATCTAGATTCAACAATAGCTCGGTTATTCTTCCACGTGATCAAGTAGTGCATGCGCCAAGGTCAGCTACGTTTCCGCAAGTCCGCGTCAACCCTTTCGCTATTTTATCGCCGTTAATGACACTGGCTAGCCCAGGTGTCTCCTACCTCTATGTAGAGCACGTGTCCCGAGAACCAGATTCGTCGATCAGGACAAGTAGACTTCTGTTCTGTGCAGGATGGTATTGGATCCCAAGGCCACCAGCTTGCACAACGATTACGGAAGCTTCGACCGACCGTTGGGCGCCGGGGAGGGCCACGAAAGGGACGTTGAAGCGGCTGTTGATGGAAGCAGCAGCGGGATGGCACAGTCCAGCGATGTTTATCAACGGCAACCACTACTGCCCGGCGCGCCGTTGTCCAAGAGCAAGGACAAGTGGTCTGGAGTGGCCTCCGGCTCGGACTACTATGAGGACGATGAAGATGAGAAGGATATCGAAAGCCTGGGTAGACATTCCGGGATACCGAATGGCTCCGGCAGCAGTATCGTCAAAATCGACATGCCGGCGCCGCTTCGCGAGGAGCCGCGTTTTCCCAAGGAAAAATGGAAAACGTTTCTCGGTGAGAGCGCGTGTCGTGTGCTAAAAATGCCTCCATAAAATCAACAATAATTTCTCCGTGTTTTAAAGCAAGTTCCAGATTTCCAAAGAGCTAAAAAAAAATAATGTCGCTTTTGTGACGAATCGATTTGTCGATTAAGGACACACGGAGAGTTGTATCTCTTGAAAAAAATTACATGTACAAAAATTCGTATGACTCCATAAAATCAATAATAATTTCTCCGTGTTTTAAAACAAGTCCCAGATTTCCAGAGAGCCCAAGAAACAATTTATGTCGCTCTTGTGACGAATCGATTTGTTGATTAAAGTCGCAATGTCAGAAAACCATTTTGAAAGAAAACTAGTGTATTTTTGTCATAATTTTTTAAATAATTTTCACTGTGTTTCGATTCGTGCATGATTATGGGATAATTTTTGAAATAAATTTAAAAACTTTTGCAGTTACAATATAATGTTCTATCTAATCTATTGAGCAAAAACGTTGGAATAGCGGATTGCCTCGATGCGGTCAATCCACTACCTATCAGAATTTATTCCTCGGTTTTTGCCACGTTCAAAATCGAATGCCTTGACGTAAGAAGAGTGAAGCGAAAATTGGCAAAGAATTTTTTACGCAAACATCGCGAGGCTCCGAGGCTCGCCGGTTAATTCCGCTAGAGTCTCAGAGCCTCTTCCAGTTTGGCTTCGTACATGTGACGTTCGTTCACAGCGGGAGTCCATCGAGATCGAGGTCGTTACGTGGCCTGGTATTCGTTCGATACACCAGTCTGCTCGCGCAGCTTCGTCGCACAGAGAGCCTCCCTCCGATCGATCTCCTCATTTCTCGAGTTCGCGCGATTTATCTCGATGGCTTTTTGCGTCGGAGTTGGCCGAAGCGAGCAACTGAATGTCCGCTGCCGTTCGCAAAATGCACGTAAATGCACAGAGCAGCGGATTTCGCGAGTCCTGTTACGCAGATCTGTTACAATATGTATCGTCGTTGCATGACAGAGTCAGGAGATTAATGCCGCGGTCATTCTTTCGAGTATCCTCGAAGATGAAAGGGGCAACGTCTTCAGGGTGTCCAGTGATCAGGGAAATCTGGAAAACCGGGAATTGTCAGGGATTTTTAGAAATCTGGAAATGTCAGGGAAAAGTCAGAAAATTTTACGATTTATCTGGATTTTTTTACATCGTTTCACATTTTTTCTGAATAATTTAAAGTTTTTAGAAAATAAACTTTTCTTTGGCTCTCAGTACACTGATTTTCTGTTTTGCTAAACATCAATTTATTTATAAGCGTGGTCGGTAATTTATATTTTCATCGTCGTGTTATTTTATTTCAATGTGTTCAACTGAGACAAAACTATAAAAGAAAGATGAATTACTAAACAGTACCATCTAAGTAAATTACTGTCTAGTAAGCTGCAAACAAAATGCAATTAAGCAAAACGAAAGCATCATATATGATTACGCACGGTATCACAAACGGTTCGAATGGTTTGTAGTGATATGTTCGTTCCTATTATACATTGTATTATACATAGATGGTATAATTGCTTTAATTAAAATTTTTACCTTTTTAAATTCCGGACTTTTGTTTCCCGAGAGAAAAATATTTCAAGGACCTCGTCATTTAACATTTACTTGATTTACCATACAGATGTACGCAAATTATGCATCTTGAAAGAAGTTACACTACACGGTCAGGGAAAAATTAATTCCGGCTCCTGGAAAACCTGAAAGAGTCGGGGAATTTTCTTCATTGAGTTTGCTGGACACCCTGGTCTTTTTTCCATTTTAAAGAGAGAAAATGGCACGATAATTACATCCGACAGGGGGATGTTGCAAGTATATATGTAATTTGCCGTTTTCCGTTACAGCATTTCTTTTCATGGTCGTAAATTTTATATTGACGACGGCTTCCCTCGCGATGGTACATGAGCGCGTTCCAGATAGGAACACGTACGGACCGCTTCCCGACGTGGTGCTGGACAACGTCACCGCTCAGGATTGGGCGCTTAACGTCTCGGAAGTCCTAATTATGATCATGTCCAATTCCGCGATGGTTTTTATCATTTTTCATAAACATAGGTGCGTACGAAATGATAAATCAACAATCAAATGGACTTTTCTAAAGACGAGAATTTCTAACGATTAAATTTGTTTCTGCAGATTCATAGTAGCTAGACGAATATTTCTGCTAATGGGCTTGCTCTACATGATGAGGAGCATCACGATGTATGTGACGGTCGTACCGATCGCCAGTAAAACTTACTATTGCAGCCCGAAGGCAAACAACACCAGTCCGCTTCTCGTGACGAAAAGGGTCCTGCAGCTCATCTCCGGTTTTGGCTTGTCCATTAACGGCAAACACACTTATTGCGGAGATTACATTTACAGTGGGCATACGGTCGTGCTTGTACTCAGTTACCTGATCATTAAGGAGTGTACGTACTTTCGTTATTCGTTTACAAAATGAGTACACGATACATGATGATACCTGTGGCGTAATTTCCTAACGGTTTGTGACGGCGTTTCAGATTCTCCAAGAAGATGCCAACCGATCCATTGGCTAGCTGGTCTGGCGGTACTCGTCGGGGTAATTATGGTCTTGGTAGCTCATGGCCATTATACTGTTGATGTACTTATAGCTTACTATGTTACTACGCGCCTGTGGTGTATTTATCACACGTTAGCCAATAACCCAAATCTCAAGGTACGATTTACTTTCGAACATTGAAAGTTTTCTATTCTGCAAAGATAGTTGATCTATAAATTGATAACCAGCTTTAGTAATATTATAATAAATGTAAACATAAAATTTGATAAGAAACTTAATTTTTGATATTATATGCGAAGTAATGATTGACATTTGCATTATAATTTAGGGGAAGTTCCCTATTATGAGATAGGCTTCTAATGTGAGAGGTTTTCAACGTCCAAATTCAATCACAAATCTTTTTTCGCGACTATTAGAGCAATAAATTCACGGCGTAACCAATAGACGATGCTTGTTAATTTAACTGAAACTCCGCTATCTCATATTATAAATGTGTCTCATAATAGGGGACTTTCCTCTATATATTATCAATGTATAAGGCAATGTAATTTTTGCAGCAATACGGACCAAATAACTTTTTGGCCCGGCTCTGGTGGTTCTCCATTTTCAAGTATTTTGAGAAGAATGTGGGCGGCACAGTGCCACGACAATATGACTGGCCTCTACCCTGGCCTCGACGGTTTCTTGCCAAACACCCTAACCGAGACAGTTAATACTTGTCTTGATTTCACGATAGAGGCTGTTAAACACAAAGGAGTTACTTTTGTTGTATATATTTTACACACAAACGCGCACACACACAAACACACACACATACACACATACACACACACACACATTATACAAACGTATGTAAATTGAGGCTTATTAACGTGGAGGTAAAAGTTCGCTAAAAAATATACATGAGACGTATTGTTTTAAGAGCGATTGCACATTTATTGTTGAAGTGCATGAATTTTATGTTATTCACTTCTTCGTAATCCAATCGTAAAGTCTTAAACACAATACCCGTGCTCTTTCACGTAAAGTTATCGTCCAGTCAGCCCGAATTTACTTTTTGTTTGATTTTTATACAGATTTATACATTATAAAGAATAGATATAGAAAGAGAGAGATGAACTTTATGATATCGTAAAGATTCGGATGGAGGAAGGTATTCGAGTTAATATATTGTACAATGACACATTCGCTTAAGGCGTTTATATTTTCACATAGCTGCAAATTGAAAGTAATATACTAAATAAGTAAATATAGGACAAATGTGTGTTTTTAAAAACTCGAGCGATACTGTGCAATAAGAAGTATTTGTAATCTTTAAAGGGCCATTGTAGATAAATATTAGGATGAAATCCAAATCCTTCCTCCAAACGAATCTTTGTGTCATATTCTCGACTTGAAGCGACGTCTTGACTTCCAATATCTAGACGTCGTCGTCCCTGACTTTGCATTCGCGATACGAATTATTCCGATGAAAAACGATTTCGCAGACAAATTGCCAAAAATATACTGTAGACTCGCGTGATGTTTATGCCCTAATTAAAATTCCACCTTGCCGATTATCCTCGAAATTGTTTCCTTCGTGTTTCGTCGCAGAAAAGTATCCTAGTATCCAGTGCTAGAAGCGATTGTGCAATTTCGCGGGACCAAAACAGGAACGCTTAATAGTAAATGTTAATTCATAAAATGACAAACTCAGCATGCCGAATCCCGAGGAGACGTGATCTCCATTATATAGATGTATATCGATGGCATTGATGAAGTCTTAATAATAATATTATGTCACTGATCAAGGTTTCCATAATTTCGGTTAGATTACCTGATGGCCTGTCGCGAATGGAATTCGGACCTCTTACCTGCCATATACACAAATGATTGTCGATTCGCATTTCGATCGTATAGCCTGCCTGCAGATTTGGATAAGTTTATTCGTGAAAACTTCCTAACAGATCTTGAATATTTGAACTTCTAGAAGATACATCTCGCTCTTTTCTAGCTTCCATTAGTCGATATACGGAAAAAGTATCATTTATAGAATAATGAAGAAAAAAAAGACGAAACAAAAAGAAGAAAGTACTGAAGCGTTCGTGTTTTCACGGAATAAGATCGTCGTACGCTTGTGCATACACCGGATATTGACATCTATATATATATATTTAGTCATATATATATATAGATATATATAGATATATGTATAATTATATTACAGAGGTAATGTAACATAAATCGTGCGAGATGTAAAAGGCATTCGTGGAGAGATCGAGTTACAAAAATGACGAATACCATCAACCATCAATCTTTCGTACGATTCTCTCTTCCTTCGTTCTTCTTGCATTTCATTATAACAACTCTTTGCCTGCACTCGTTTTTTTCCATTGGGAAAATAAATGCATACTTTACGTACGTACACTATAGATTAGATCTATACTGCATGTGACGCAAACTATAGATTTATGGGAGAAAATGAACGCAGGCCTTGCATCTCTTGCCCTGCTCTTTTTCCTCGTCTGCGGAAAAAGAGTGACATGATTTAATAATGTCGATGAAAATGCCGCAGTTCTTCAAATACTTGTATAGACGATTATGAATCTCATTTAATAAGGTACAAGTAAGCGGTAACAAGTCGCGTGACTGTTTATTTTCCTAGCATCCGATGAGAAAGTCGCATGTGTGTTGTATGCATGTTGTATTGAGTAACATTTAATCGTAGCTTAAATTGCGTTAAAGGTGACTCGTTATCTTGTCCACCTGTGATGAGATCAACTTGTTGAATCTCTGATAAGAAACGCACTTGCAACTCTACCAATTTTAGTTGAATTTTTGTTGTCTCTTTTGTGTATCTAGATTGAATAAATAATAAAAAAATCTCTTACAACATACTTCGCGGAAGTTTACGTGTAAATTTATATTTTTTATCACATGATTTAATCGAGCAATTAGCGATGCCTTAAATTGCGTGTAAAGCTAAATTATTATACATATATTTTTTTATTATTCATCGGATTACGATCAAACGCGTTTGATTGAACAGAATTCGCGTAAAAGTTATAAGAAAGGAGAATGATAACAGGGAGGAGGAAATGCGATAATGTTGTTAGTAGTATAATTAACTCTTTTCCGTCTGTGATGATAAATAAAAGAAAGAATAAATCGCCGTCGTGTGATCTCGCGCTCTTAATAACGTAGCAATCGACTGGCGGATCAACACCGATGTGACCCTTACGGCCACCTGATATTTCTTCTTGACATTCAAATTATAAATGCGTGTAAACTGTTAAACATATATTTTAATAAGATTAATGTAGTTCGTAGTGAAACTTCTAACTGGCATTCGCGCAGCGCATTCGACGTGGAACAGATGAGTATTTAGGGGTATATTTTTGAAATAATATGCATAATGTATATAGGCGCATCCTCAGCTGATACGTGTATGTATAAAGCAGCGACGTCGCTAATCGTATTGTACGAATGTGAGAATGAACTAAGCCGACAGAGATGTACACATTCGAATATATATATTTGCAGAGAGTGATATGTATTGCGCGCATTTACTTGCGTGTGTATACGTACACACATACACATATACACACAGACACATGCGCGTTTCGCATATCTGCATTACTATTGTTGCTCTTCGGGGGCGGGATACGCTTCATGTGCGGCGAAAAGAATTTCGGTGTATAGAGCTTATTGTTAGATCGGCCAGGCGTTTAGGAGAACGATATTTTGGATGGAGACCTGCGTAAAAGATGTAAGCCAAAAGATTTCCTCAAGTATGCATATGTATAGATATAGGTATACGCAAACGTGACGTGTGCATATACATACTTTTACGTGTACATGTACAAATATGTATTATAAAAATGATATATTTACACGCACACGATAAGGGAAAGCTTCTTCTATTGACGGAAAAGCCTCTCGTTGATGTTAATTACATAAAAGGTAACAAGTATATATATATACATATAATTAATAGAGTTCGTATATATATATATTTAATTACAATTGTGGCACATGCACGCTCTCGCGCGCAGATAATTGCGTGTTTATATGTATATACATATATATCTATATTTTTACGTGTAGATATTTTTTGGTAACTTGTTACAATAATGTAATTAGTTAAGTATATATACATATAATATAGAAAGAAAAAAATATAGGCGTTGTAAATATAAACTAGTAGCAAAAGAGCTTTTGTTATTATGTGAAAGCTAATCAAAATTTTGTTACCGTTATATGACGTACAACAGCGTTTTTCGATTGTTCGCGCGACATAATTGCGGCTCCATGTATTAAACTCCTCGATAATTGAATAAGGGACGATGTAATTTCATTTCCGTTATCGATGTACTGTACATAAGAACATCAATGTATGTGCATCTTTATAATTATTCGTCATAAAAAAACATCGATATTATTACAATGAAGAACAAGTTGTGTATTTGGCTTTACTTTATATATATATGTGTATATGTACATATATGTATATGTATATATACACATATATATGTGTATTTATAATATTTATTACATTTTTCATATGTTGATGTAATAAAGTTTTCGGTATACTTTACTCGGACTGTCTCTACATCCCTTGCTTCCAAGATAGCCAAGTACAAATTTCTCTTATACCTCGAGTACCTATAATTTCCGACGTTGAATTTTTCGAAATATTTACCTACCTTTTGTTTCAGCTCCAAACTTTTGACAGATTCCTTGGCATAAGGCTCATTTTAATGATTCTCGTAAATCGAAAAGTGAAATAATCCCACGCAAAATTCTACGTGTGTGCAGTAATTTTACATCATCAAAAACGCGAAGAAAAACTATACCTTAATATGTCATTTTCATTCGGTGATTAGTAATTCTTATCATGGGTTAGGTAAGGTACTATCAAGTTATAAATTACTAAAATACTAAATTTTACAGAATTATCACAAATATTGTGTAATGTATGCGTCTCTGATAAATTTAATTCATTAATTTTATGCGAACAAGAAATACATGTATATACATTCGGATACTTGAATATCTCGAGAGAAATATCGAAAAGCTTCACCGAAATTAGAAGACATGGAGAATCTTGACAGTGTCGGTGGCGGTGATGTAGGACGAATTGAAGGGAAAAACGTCCCACCTCGTGGAAGCAGTTTCGGAAAACGATGGCATCGCTTCCGCGTTTTAACGCCACGTTCGTTTATTCTTCGAGGGTCTCGTGCGATGAACGATCGTCGATTCAAGTACAAAAGTCGAGGACGACAAGCGGCACCGTGCTCAGTGGTGGCTATCGTTTACGGTCGCCTGTTTGAACCGAAGGAATGGACAAGGAATCATGTTGATCAAGTACTCGAATACGGTGACAAGTTGTTCCGCGTAAGCTTGATGAGGACCAAACTGAAGGACGAAGAATACATGAGGACCAATCTCGTACACAATAAGTTTTATATTGGTTTCTACAAAGTTCTAGTTTGTATCGAGGACAGCGGTGTCCACGGCAATCTCTTTAGCCAGTCGGCTGGCTCGGATTTTGCCGAAGGCCTCCAAAACTTTCTGAAGAACAACGATTCCGGGGTGATCACCGCCCAGGGTAATTCCGTTGCCGTGTGGCATCAGTCTGCCGACGCTGGTTTTCTTTGTTACGATCCGACATCGTGCGACGAGAGCGGTCTGCGTTGTTCTGGCGGTACAGCTTGCCTCATGAGGTTCAAGTTTATCAATGATTTGCATGACCACTTGCTGAAAAATCTGAATCGGCACTGTGACTCTCGATACTACATCACTAAGGTCACCGTGTTGCGTGCAAAAGAGGTAATGGCAGTAAAATAGCGGTAGTAGTAGGCAGAGTAGCAGAAAACAAAATATTACGTTAAAGAACATCTAAATATAGATACTATTTATATAAAAATCTAATATGTGAAAAAGAACATAAACATACATCGGTGGCGTAACTAGCTTTTCATGTGCCATGTGCAAGATTTTATTTTTGGGTACCACAAGTTTTTAGGGAAAAATAATAATAAAACAAGTATGAGACATAATAATATGACAAGTATGACATAATAATTGTTGCGTCGAGAGGTTGAGCAATCTCTATACCGTTAAATAACGCAAATTTAAAATTTAATGAATTTAAAAAATTTGAAAAACTGAATTCTTTGGTCAGTTCCATTTCAAAGCCCTTCTACGCCTGTGCACCTACTGCACGTGTCTAGTTACTAGCCACTGCTGTACAGAGGAAAGTCCTCCATTATGAGATAAGTTTCTAATATGAGATAGCAGGTTTTCAACATCCAAATTCAATCACAAATCTTTTTTCGCAACGATTATACAATCTAACAATGAATTTTCCACTAAACAGATTTCACTCCAAGGGCAATAAAATGGTGGAATCAACAGATAATGGCCATTAATTTAATAGAAATTCTGCTATCTCATATCAGAAGCCTATCTCATAATAGAGGACTTTCTTCTACGTATACGTATATGTCCGTACATACATACGAAGTAAAAATCATAGGTCGGTCACGAGTGCGTCGATCGTCTAGCTGATGGTGGTCCTGTAGTCCGGAAGAGTGTACTACGATCAATTAATCCCATGGACGTAGATGATTACAAAGTGAATCACACCAAGCCTATGTCCAAGAAGGAAAAGTTGGATACGCTCGCAAGGATACGGAAAGAACCATTGACCATCACCATTTCAAATTACAGCATCGATCGTTACTTTGCCACAGAGCCGTTGGTGAATCGAAACAACTTTGACACGGGATATTTATACGATGATATGCGCGTGAACGTGCCATCTACATTTAGGGAGTTACCCGGCAAAGTAGCGATTCTTCATGGTCAGACTCACGAAGGCCACGAGATGTTCAAGGGTAAGGGCGGACAAAACGTAGCGAATTGCATGATGGCTATAGCTATGAACAAGGTGCATCCAGCGCAGACATGGACGAGATCAAAGCTGGACGAGATCCTGATGCTGGGTGACTCGCTGTACGCTAATATCAAATCTGACAAGCCGATAATAAAGACGATGACGGCTGCCGATTTAAATGATACAAAGTTCCAAATAGAAGATCGTAAACTAGTGACAAATGTCGATCTCATCACCGTGACCGGTACGATTAGCTCGAAGATTCCGTCGGTTTTGAACCTGAAGCAAGCGCTGGAAGAGTTTTTTCTGCTGAACAAGGAGGGTGTAATCGAAACCACATCAATGGCAGTGGCGATCTGGAGCGAGGATAGCTGTTACTATTTGTTCGATCCTCGACAATGCGATAGTACCGGCATCAGGATAAGAGAAGAGAAAACTACCAAAGTTATGGGGAGGGTTAGAAAAGAAGAAACCATACAGAAGGATAAGAAGGAAATTGGAAATTGCTGCGTGATTCGATTTCTGGACGTGGACTCCTTGGCTGCACTGTTCCTGAAGAACGTTGATCCTACGAGAAAGAATGACCGATTCATTATCCGGCATGTCACGATCGAGGACGACGTGCCCGGCACTCGAGCTTGGAACGAATTTCAGCCCGGTACAGCGGGTAAGACGTGGGTGTTGCGAGGAGGAATATCCAACATGGACGAATCGTTCTTAGAGGAAAATCAAGGACTTCAAGGACTTGCTATACCAGTTGTGGCCTTGGTGAGCGCGAAGGAAACGCCAGCGGCAAAATGGAGTAGCGAGACCGTCGACGAAGTGATTAAAGAGGGCGACGCCTATTACAACTGGTGCAAGTCTGCCGAAGCAGAAGAAGAAACTGACAGGTTGTTTCTTGTTCGAGACCTAAAGAAAAACTTGTATTTCAAAAATCGAAAAGTAACCATCGATGTCGAAGAAGCGACGGTTATCGGCGATTTATCGGCAACGGACGGGTCTAAACTGCCAAATCTAGAAGAGGGACTGCGCCAATTCTTGGAGAGCAAAAATTATGGAATAGTCGAGACAGGGAAACTTACGGTGGCGGTGTGGAAAGAGGAAGAAGACATTAAGAACAAGAATAAGGACAAGGATAAGGACAAAAGAGAGACATTTTACTACTATTTCGACCCGAACCCTCGTGATGCATTAGGTCAATTGTCGGCGGAAACAGATGAAGAGAATCCTGCCTGCTTGGTACGCTCTTCGGATCTATCAACGTTAGCGAATCTCATTAAGAAGAATGCAGAGCAAGATGTTGAGGGCGTGAACGATTTTATGATACACGAACTAAAGAATGTCTCCATTGGCGCGCTGATGACGAACGAAGAGATCAAGGTGGACAAAGAAAAACTGATCGTGCCGGATTTGAATAATTATTCCAATTTGGGCAACACTGGCGCTTTACTTTTGGGTACGATCGATCAGAGAAACGAAGCGGCCTTTAAACGACGGACGAGAGATAAACAGCAGGCGGCAAACTCTCTAACGGCTTTGGCAATGACAAAACTTTACGATCCTCATCTGTGGTATCGCGAACTCGTAGACGACATCTTGAGAATCGGCGATAAACTCACCATCGAGAACCTGACGAATCTACCTGAAGTTGCGATTGAGGAGAAATCTCCTAGGGATTATCCTCTCCCGTCGGAAATCGCGGAAGACTTTGTCATAGGGGTCAATCGAATGTTGATCGACCTTGAAGAAGAATCCATCACCGAGAAAATGACTGACGTGACGAGAGTGCTGGAACATTTTTTCGAGGGATATACGATGGGAGTATTTCGTCAGGGTGATGTGATGATGCCGATTTGGAGGGAGGGCAGAGTGTTTTTCACGATGGATCCTAGGGGCAGGAACGCTCAAGGTGAACCCAAAGATAAGGATGGAGCTGCGGCAGTAATGTGGTTCACCGACATCCCCTCGTTAGCCGCCACCCTTCGAGTAGTTGCACGGGAGACTGATGACTTTGTCATAGACGCCATTTCGATCGAGAACGTATACGAGACGCGAGTGGCCAAAGCACAACGTATTAAGAAGACGACTTCCGATGAAGATTTGTGGCATCATTTTCCCAAACTCGTCGACGATGTCTGGAGTATCGAGGGTAACGTCACTATGACGGACGAGCAGTTCGACGAGGCAAATCGCGGCAAGCAAAGTGCAGCCATCGCCGCGATGGCCATTGTCTTCTCCAAGGTTTCTTTCTCTCTATATCAATTAAATTTAATTTTACTTAATTGTACGATTTATCTATAATTCGGCTGCGCAAAGATGACTAATATTTAAAAAAAATGAATAAAGGTCTATCAACCAAGACAGTGGACATCGTCAGTTCTTAATGAAGTTATCGTTACTGGCGACAAGCTGCACTCGAAGTGTGTTGAGAGACTCGGCAGCGGTTCGGTACCCCTAGTAAACGAAATCATTAACGAGTTCTTCTTATCTTCTCGACGCATCGCTCTAACGATCAAGGACTGTGTTGAAGCGGGTAATCTTACCGGGAGACCTCCCAAGATTCAAGATTTGCAGACCGGAATCGACAGTTTCTTCAACAAGTACGACGCTGGCGCGTTGACCGCACGGGGAAACCAAAATCTGGCCATATGGAAGGCCGATAACGCATACTACGCTCTGATACCCGATTGGTCTAGTACAGCGGAGGAAATTGTGTCAACGGTACCGCGAGTGATGAGGTTTAAAGATACGAGTCTTCTCGTAGAATATCTTCTACGCCACTTGGGAACCGAAGGCGATTATCAAATTACCGCGATCGACGTGCTGGACTGGGATAAACCGCCACTTTCGAAGCTTGATCCTAGTCCGGCAATTCGACCGGCGAATCTGCCTCCTTTGAACGCTTACAGAAAATTACGAGGCGAGGCGCGTGCTATCTTGCGCGGAAGCTATCATCAGGGCGACGAGATCTTTCCCGAGACACTGCGCGGCCGACAGACAGCAGCGAATTGCGTTGTTGCGCTCGGCATGTCGGTTGTCAAGAGCCCCGTTACCTGGACGAAGAAGACTATGGACGAGATTTTGGCGATTGGCAGTAGCGTTCACCTGGAGACAAGAAAGTTCAGGCCCACCAAGACGAGACCGAAACCGAAGGACATTATAAGAGTATTCTATGTAGGTATGTACGTCTGTCGTATCATTTTTAAGGTGACATTTTAATGTCAATTTGAAGAAATTTATTAAGCTTCCTTCAAAATATATCTTCCAGATATCTTATATAAGAAATCTCTCAAACAAGATGCCTTCTAGACCTTTTATATAATAGACATCTTAATATATTTATCTGGTAGATATCTTTTTCATTACTTAAAAAGTTATCTTTAAAAAGATATCTTAAGATCTTTCTGACATAAATGCTACATAGAACGCTATTGTAATTTTTTATTCTTTCCTTTCCATCGTGTCTCCAAATATCGTGCCACTTCCTCCTACATTTTTGTCTGTTACTTCAACCAACTTCCTCTCATCAATAATCATAATAATATTACTATACAACGCAATGTTGAAAAAAGAGAATTAATCGAGGATGCGATCTTTTAAATATGATGTTCTATTAAATTTCTGTATTTATCTTTGTAGGTGTCAATATTTTGACCGCTGACGTCGAGCCTGATACCGTTACTGGTCTAGTGGCAGTTGTACCTTCTGCCTCGGAAGACAAGATGGGACGAGAAGAAACGAAAGAAAAGATCGACAAAGGCAAGAAGAAAGATCGTTCTCGACGAGAACTACCTCCTTCTCCAATTTTACTCGAGGAAGGCTTGCGGAAATTCTTCCAAGAAGATAATTGCGCTGGCATTCTAGTAACCGATCGCGGTATGATCGCCATTTGGAAGGATCTGGGCGTTTACTTCATGTACGATTCTAGAGCCAAAAGTGATCAGGGTCTGCCGGATTCCCGCGGAACCTCGTGCGTAATGTGGTTCGCTTGCATGGAACCTTTGTACGATTCAATCCTCGCGAACATCGATCCACAGGAGAGACACGGGACTTTCGAGATCTGTCGAGTGATCGTGAAGAACGTCGTGTTCGAGACGTTGCCGTGTCCAGGTGGTTTTCGACCGTATTTAGACCATATCATGCCACCCGTCCCAATTTTCTGCCCGATAAAAACAATCACGTTGAACGTGAAGCCGGTGAGCGAGTACAATGTCGTGGACGAGGAGTTGAGTGTTCTACGTGGCAGCCTGCACATAAATCATCGCTCCTTCAGCCTGAGAAACAGGGGTCTACAGAGTACGGCGATCGCGGCGGTCGCGGTTGTAGTGAGTCTGTTACACGTGCCATCCACGTGGACCTCCGAGTTGATCGACGCCGTGCTCAGACACGGTGACTCGCTGCACACGGACAGTGCTCGAATTGCTCGATCGGGCGACAGGAACCTTTCGCCTAGCGAGTTGCTCACTATGTTCATTGTGGGCGACTCGAGGGTCACCGTTCACATTGACCATCGCACCACCGCGGGTATACTTCACGTCTTCGATCTGTCCGAGGCGCTCGCGATGTTCTTCCGCGCGAACTGCGCTGGAATATTGCACACGACCAACCTGGCGGTGGCCGTGATGCAGCATTGCAGTAAATTCTACATGTTCGACCCGTGCTCAAGAAACGAACGGGGTGGACCGGCCTACGACGGCGCCGCATGCATGTTCAGGTGTAGCAGTATTGCAAGGATGGCCAAGATATTTGTCGCCAATTGCAATCTCAAGCAGCCGAACGTGTACACTCTGAACGCGGTCAACGTCAAGTGCCTAAATTTTTTTTCGACCACGAGAGACGTTAGTAGAGACGTAGTTACACTTAAACGTTAACATATCGAACGTATTTCTGGTGAAAATTTTTCTCAGAATATTTGTACGAATTGGTACACTTTTCAGAAATACTGAGAAAGTTTACTTTCCTTAGAATTTTTCATATATGTGAATATTTTGAAATATTATATTTCTGAGATTTTATTACATAATTTCTGAAAAAATATCTTAAACTTTTTCAAATCTTATAAGATCACGTCTGAAATTATAGAATGGGCAATTTAAGAAATCTCAGAATATTTCAGAATTCATCCATATAAAAAATTCTAAAAAAGATGTTAACTTTTTTCTGCACTTCTAAAAAGTGTACTACATTTATGTAAAAAAATCAGGAAAATTTCTTTAAAAAAAAACAAAATTATTTAAAAATCTGACTTTGAATTTACATAAAAATAATGAAAAATTTGTAAAAATTATATAAAAAATTTTCACCAAGGAGTTTACATTTTCTCTCTCTACTCGCCAAGTCGATACAGCAAGTCTCGAAGTTGTAAGTCTATGTAGGTTTGAGAGAATTTGCGAAAATATTTTTCACGACTTTCAAAAGCATGCAAAACTTTATCCCCGACGATAAGACGAACAGTGATTCGCTACTATTCGTTACGCTTATACTTCGCGCGAGACACTACTGTGTCTCTTGATGGAAATGATAAAGAATTGATACACGCGGCCGACAACGTTCTCAAAGTGCTAATTTTATTTATAGGTTTTCTTTATGACACAAATCACTTTTAGCATCTACATGAGTAGGAGTACAGGCTATACGAGAATGAATGATACAGATCGCTTATTAGTGTAAATACAATGGTTCCTTTTCCTCAATTACACGCGCGCTATCAGCCTAGATACTTAGAAAACACTGTACAACGCAGCTGAGAACTGTCGATTGATACTTTACAATATGGTACAATCACTCCTTTGAAGCGAGACACGAGCTCCGAAATCCCGACTCGATCGGCACGAGCTTGGTCACCCTCGTCACCGGGGGAAGGGGGTGTCATCTGCGACTCGCGAGAGCAAATCTCGATACTCTTTCTTTCTTTCTCTTCTCGAGCGGACTGTAGGCCGTATCGAGCGAGTTTGCTCGCATTCCGCGTCCCAAGGGTACGTTTCTCTTTCCATACCCGGTAACGTCGAACGCGACGCTTTCGCGTCTCCGAGCAGTCCGCCACCGAAAATCTTAAGCGACGTCGCCTCGTCGTTCCTAGCAGAGCGAAAAGAGAGGCAGCGAGCGGGCTCGAGATGATCCACGAGATTTTCTTTCCTCCTTAGGGAAGGAAAGAAGAGGGGGAGGTACTCCCTCCCCCCCCGTAACACTCGATTGTCTATTCTTCGAGGGAAAATCGGTCCCATTCGGCGTTACTCTCCTTGTACAAGGGTTGTTGTCATATACGCACGTACGCATTCAACGAGACTTTGCGAGTCTCGTTTCTGACTACGTCTACCGCTATTTCGCCATCGCCGCCGCCTCATTTTCTTTCGCACTCGTGAGACATTGCTGGTTGTCCTTGCCCCGTACTTATTTGATAGGAAGGTACTTCGGTTCCTCGATCGAACGTTTTCTACGCGCGAGAGTCTACGTTTTCCTTTCGTTCGAGCGCTTCTAGTACTGATAAATCTTTCGCCCTGTTCGATACCGTAGTGTGTGTATGTATGTATGTATATATAATAAATATACATACGTCATATAAGTACACACACACCCAGATCGATGCTCGCGCAAAAGTTGCTATTAAATGCCATTTTCAGTCTGTTTACTGTGTTCGATCGACAAACGAAGAAGGCGGGAAGGAAAAGGGGAGAGAGAACGATGGATCGTGTGATAGAAGGAAGGAGAAAAGGGCAAAATCGCGTCGATGGCCCATGCTTCACGATCGACGGAACTAGGTTGAATGGATTGTGTAAAAAAAAAACAATATGTATTATCGGTAATATTGGCATGACGTTATGGCACGTTTAGTTCGCTGCTATACTCTGCGATGCGTTTCTACAGCGGCTTCCGCCGTATTCGCTATAGAGACACTGAACAATTGCAGTCGATGAGATAAAAAAGACAGATAAAAGAATAAAAAAAGAAGAGACAAAAGGGAAAAACACTGGTAGGGAGAGAAGGGAACAGATATTGTCATAGAGACGTTCGCGCGCACCCTCGTTTAACGGCTACTTCCGTTTCGTGGCGCACGCGCGCGAATTCGCGCAATCTCGCACTCTCTCGTTCTCTCATTGGCACCTCCATTGCACTTTCCCATGCGCCGCAACAAATGCGTCTTATAAAACGTATTTATTTTATGTACAAAAGAGAAACTGCTCTCCGAATAAACGCTTACGGAACAATCGTTATAAGGAACCCTTATCGCGTATTTCTTTCCAGTTTAGGTGATAAAGAAAACTAAAATCGCACCGTAATGTCGCATAACGAAACGAGATCAGTCATTAACAATTCTCATTGCTTTTAAATCGGCGTGCTCGAAATTGCGCATACGTGATTTTAGCTTCTTACGAAACGTACTACCGCGTGAATGTCCTATTACCAGGTTTCAGAAATTTTTATCACTTTTGCAAAAAAATTGTAAAACATTGAATCGATAAAATAATACAACAAATTTTTAACAGTAGCAACGTTACAATGTCTCTATGGTAAGACAAGTAAAAGAACCAACTGTTCTTTTCTTATAAGACAATATTGCAAATCTTTTATAATACGATTAACAATTTCCATTGCAGTCATGAAAAAAGTAATTACTGGCTGTAATAGATTTCTCGCAACAAAAATTCGCGAATAAAAAAATATTGATTATTTCATACTATTTCACAATGTCCAAATAGTACGTTTTACATTTGCACGTTGCATTGATACGATAAACAATACATACATACATACATATATATATATATATATATAATAAAATATAAGAAAAAACGTAGAGTTGCCAATAAAAATATTTGTAACATCATTTTGCTGAAATCTAGAAATAAACCTGCACTATGCTAATGTTCGAAACGACATGCTAAAACTTCGTTAATAACGGAAAGAGAGAAAAGTAAAAAGTTAGTAAAACCTACTAGTGTTTTTACAAGATATCATAAAATTCTTTTTCTAAAGTTTTTGCCTAATTGTCATTCTTTAAGCGATTGTTCCAATGACAAAAGTTTTCTTTCTAATCCGCGATTTGCGAGGGAAACTTATTTCTCTGATGCGCACACATACGGACTATACAAATTATTTAATCCTTAAATCGCATCGGACATTGCTTACACGCTCATCGAACGATCATATCACGTTAGCGTGAACGCTCATATCATGAACGAATGAAAAGTGGGAAAATGTTTCGGGGAAAAAGAGATAGAAATTTGAGGGCGAAATGAATATATTATAAGATAATCTTCCAAAAACGTCGCTTTCGATATTGTTCGCAAGTGACTCGATACAGCTCGTTCCCATCTTTCTATGGAAGTTAATAATTTCTCTTGACCACAAGTCTTTTACTTATTAAAAAAATGTTTTCTATTTGCTGCCGATTATTGTCTTTGTTCGATCGAAAGTACGAATTTGCCGATTGATGGCAAACGTCGATCATTATCCCATTTAAGGAAATAATGAAACAACGAGAACGACATTAAGTCGATTGCAACAAGAAAAACGTTCGAGGTTTAATACATATCATTAGTCTTAATTAATATTAATACGTAGTTATTATATATTAATACGTATTAATATTTAGTAACTTAATAATATGTAGTAAACAGCATGTTGTATTCTGCACAAATGGAAAAGTTTGTTTGATAAGTTCTATAGAAACACGTTGCCCTTGGAACCTTATCGATCGTATAGCGCCATTTATTATGGTAATATTATTAAAAACGAGAAGAGAATTAACAGAGTAGAAAGAGACAAAGGAAAAATATTCGAAAATGAGCGGGGAGTTGGTAATAAGGATCTTACACGCTAATCAACCGCACTGTGTGTATAGACTTTTAAAAAAATAACAAATTGCGTATATATAGAAGATATCTTGACACACTTGATGTGTGAGGTGAGGTCGAATAAACGAATGACAATAAAACGCATCGCGCTCGCGCGCGCGCACGCGCGCGCCGCTTCGTTCTTTCTCGCGGCTCCTTTTCGCTTTACGCATCTAGCTACTTGTCCGCAATATAATTACTTTTCTAGAGTATAGTAGCTGGCACAGGAACATGACTCTCAGTCATTGGCATCACAACGTAACAAGGACTACAAGCTGCGTCACGCGCACCATCAATTAGCTTGCTTTCTCAGTCGCATTATTATCAGACGTGCACCTTGCTCTTCCCCAGCTTCGCAAGCTTACATGCACATATATTCTCTTACGCTTATATCTCGCTTACATTTGTCTTTTTGCCGAGCGGGTGACTACAACCAAATACTTGGTACTGAGTATTTCTGCACATAATATTTATTTCTGTTCGTTCTCGTTAACACGTATATAACGTATCGATCGTACTCCCGACTTCGGACACTGGATCTGTTCTGCACTTGGGCGAATGGATAAGAGCGAGGCCAGGAGAGAACGATCGAAAGCGACACTATAAATCCACAATAGCGGTACGACGATTTCGCGTGTTCCCAATCCGAATTGTCAGCAGTACCGTTCAGATTGCAGATTGCGTCAAATCCCAACGAAGCATGATCAACTAACTCGTAAGTTGACCACTCGAATTATCTTGAGGCATCTCGAAAATACTATACTCTCCTCGAACCTCTACTTGTTTCCCCCCAATCGGATTGAAACTGCGAGAGAAACGCTAGACGAAAGCGAGATCCTTGATCTCTCACCCGCCAGGTCTTTCCCTGTATCTCCGTCATCGTGTCAGTCGGTTCCTCGTCGTTCAGCCTTTTCATCGTGTGCATACGTAGACGGACCCTATAGATGACACCGCATGTAGCAACAGTTCGGTCACGTGGGTCCGGCCGGGGCTACGTAACACTGATCGCCGGGTTGGAGGGGCCCGAAGGTGCGGGCTCGCTCTTTATACACTGTCCGGTCAGCTGGTTCACGCTGAGCGGATTGTTAATATCGTGAGGATTTGTGCCGACGGGGTTGCGGTGAGGCTGTGGAGGTGGTAGCTGCTGTTGCTGCTGTTGTTGCGCCGCCGTTGTCGCCGATGTCACCGCCGATCCAGCCATCGCCGCCGCTGCCGCCGCCGCTGCCGCTGCTACCGTCGTCGCCGCTGCCGCCGCCGCCGCCGCCGACTGGTTCGTGTTCGACAAAGGCGGGGGCGGCACTGGGGGCGTCAACGGACACGGGCACGGACTGGCCAGGCTCGAGGGTGACTGTAAGACCAGCGAAGGGCTCGCCAGGCTAGATAACGCGGATAGGCCTCCAGGACTACTCAGAGACTCGTCCTCCTCGGGAGTCCCCGCCTCTCCTACGCTGCCCAGGTTGTCCTCCGAATGGTCATCCTCGGCTTCACCGTCAGCTTCACCGTCGCCGTCTCCTCCCTCCCCCATGTATCTGACACATTTCTTCTTACGTCTGCAAATAATGACGGGAAACCGATTAGTACGCGCTCGTCTAGGTGCGCTCGAAGCACGACGTAACGTTGTCTTTCGATTGCTGCAATTTCCATCTGTGAGAGACAATCTATTTAGATAATAGCATAGAAATGTTGTAATTTTTTTATTTATATCTTGGTAACTTCCTAAAATTTATTAGGCACGACGTGCTCTACGGTAAAAAGAGTGTCAATTGCGATAAAAAGTTTGCCTGGTGTTACAATAAATTAGACGAAAGTCGAACGACGTTTACGTTAACTTTATTCGGCTGTTGTCTCTGAATTTTTTTCAATTGTCTCTGCATTTCACGCCCGATATTCGATGGAATTCTCACCGTTGGAAATGCGTAGTGTCCATAAAAAATGTTACATCTAAAATTGTTATAACTAAAAAAAAAAACATGCGATTACTCGTCATCATCGCAAAGTCAGACGCACAAAATTTTCTCATCTCGAGCTGTAGTAAATTATCTCGCCTTCTAATGCCTCAATTGCTGGAGGGAATGACGATCTTTGTGCGCCTGACGATGCTTCGATTGCTCGACACTGATCACTCGCTCGCAAATGCCATGCTCAAAATTTTTGGACGTAACAAGCATAATGTGTAAGAACTTTATACGTGACAAAGGAAACCAAACTCAATTGAAATGCCAGAGGGCATCTATCGAATCGTTGATGATCCGCAAATCAATAATTCCACGGGGAACCGCGCTCGTTCGTTTATCGGCGACGATTTGTCGTGAAACGGCCAATTGTAAGACGTACCAGAGTGGATGCAGGATGTTACGTGGAACTTGGAATGTCGCGACTAAGTGCATTCGAAGTAAAATTTTCAGTCGCGTAAAAGATGGACATCGATAGAATAGATTCCGTGTGACGAGAGGAAGAGAGGCGTTTTGCTACTGCACAATTTTCACAAGTGAGCCTGTCCGACCTCGTCCTCGATAACTGCTTCGCAGTCGAGACACTTTGCCGCTCTGCCATTGGCTCTCATTATTTATCTCTCAGCTAAATCAGTTAGTTTTGTCGGCCGTGCTGCCGAGGATGACGGAAGTTGCTATTAACTCGTAGTCACACTTGGATGTCAAAGCATTACACAAATTTTACGGGAGTTGAACTCCATTTACTGCGCGACAACGAATGGGTTTTCGAAAATCTCGTGCTGGATTGCAACATACATGATTCTTTCCTTAAGGTCTGTGCCCACGATGCTAGGACTTGGTCCAAGTTCTAGCCTCGAGAAATGTGTAGCCAATCAACTTGCGGATATTCCATAAAAGCTGCAAGTTGACTGGCTACACATTTCTTGGAACTAGAACTTGGACCAAGTTCTAGCATCGTCGACGCAGGTCTTTGCACAAATCATCAATAATTGTGTACAATAACGATTAATATACGAGGTGCATATGGGAATCGTATTCCACGGATTTGTATCTGTGACTCATAAAATCGTGTTCTTCCCAAGTTATCTTTGAGAGAAATAATAATCTGTTCTTTTGTTTAAATAAGAATAAAAAATTTAATTGGTGTTTTCACACGGATATGGCAACAGCTATCCTGTTAAAAGAACTGCAATTACAGTTGCTTGCAATCCAGTCCGAGGTACAGTCTGACAATACGAAATTGCGCAAAATTTCAACTTAAACTCCATTCTACGCGTTTAGCCAGCGCGGTTCTTTTCCAAAGAAGTACCCTTAAATGGTTAGGTTTTATACTGTACGTATAAAAATATGTTATTATATGAAAAATATTGCAAAAGACAAATGATTAGATATTTTTTAAAAAAGTAAAAAAAAATGTGAAAAAGAACACATATCCGTACAATGCAATCATCCGGTCTTAATCGTACGAACTGTCATGCTAAAAAATTAAAATGTACAAAGACTTTCTATGTGTCAAACGTTCCGAAATCAGAGCAAATAACTGTTACATATGTGTGTGTGTTTGTGTGTATTGTATATATAAATATATATATATAAACATATATGTATACATAATATGATACATATTACAGATCAGCCATGCTAAGGGCAACACTGAGTAAATTCCAACTAAACGAGAGGGATAAATAAATAACAATAAGCTGTAAAGAGCCACAACAATGAGAAACAATGCGAGCATCACGGGCCACCGTCGTGCCGCTTACTATGGGGCTCCTCGCTCGTACCTTCCCACGATCCCCATTCTAACGAGCTAATATGTCCCCGCCAAGTTTGAGAGAAAAAAAAAGTTTGGCATCTAGTTACGAGGTACAGCGAAATGGCTCGAGTTATCTCTTTCGAGCGGCTGGCCGGCCATAGCGAGGACCGACGAAGGCCCGTAGGTTTCAAGTCGGGACTGACCACTGTTTAAGAAGAAGTGTTGCAGTAGAAGGGAGGCGATAGGCTTGACTAGAGATTAACATAAGTGGGTTCTTGCTGAGGCGAGGAGGCATTGGAGGCAGTGTTGGTATTTGGCGGGGCGGCGGCTGTCCCCACCGTCCCTCCACCGCCTCCAGCCCCGACCCCTGCCCCCGCGCTACTTCCCACACCGTGATGGATTATGCTCGCGTGGATGCCCATCCCCGCTCCATGCTCCACTGGGCTGCCAAAACCAACCACCAGCCATTAAAGGGGCGCTCTCTCTCGCTAAGATATATCGTCGACTTAATCCCACCTCAATCTCGCACCGTATCGTGTCGTCACCCACACGCACGTGTATACGTTCAACGTGTTACCGCTTTTCTAACACTCGATCCCTAAATCTCTCTCGTGACGGTCAAAATCGCGGAAACGAGGCCGGCGATCGTCAGCACTTGATTGTCAAGATTATCAAAACTCCTGCTACGCGATCTTTTATATTCCGCAATGCGATTGCCAGGCATTGTATCGGATCACTATTCTGTAAGAGATAAAGGCCCGTGTCGACGATGCTAGAACTTGGTCCAAGTTCTAGTTCCGAGAAATGTGTAGCCAGTCAACTTGCAGCTTTTATGGAATGGCCGCAAGTTGATTGGCTACACATTTCTCGAGGCTAGAACTTGGACCAAGTTCTAGCATCGTGGACACAGGCTTTAAGAGATGGTTGCTATCCAACTTGTTCTAACTGTTAAACATATATCGTAGATGTATCTCTGATAAGAATGCACATTTCCGAATATTAGAAAATTCAAGTTTATCAACGAAAGATGGTCGATTGGAAATTAAGACGTTGTGCAGAGATATCATGGTTGCAGTATTGCCGGCCTCGTTGTAACGAGTTTGGAGTTTACAAGTGGAACGAAGAAAGACGGCGCAAGATATCGTGATTGTTGCATTGATCAGAAAATATGTCTCCCAAGTATCCGCGCTGACGCGAGTTTGGAATTGATCTTGGCGCACTTAACAGCGCCACAAATATCCGTGGTTGCTCTACGCGCGGTTTGCGTATACCCTTATTGTCTCACACGTTTTACAATCCTCTAATAATGTCTCAAGTATCCGCGATAACGTGACCAATCGAAAGCACAATGACGTCTTATACAGGCGGTATGTAAGTTACGTGCATTCAATGCAGAGTGCAATCGGCCAAGTCCAAATGCAACAAACTAGGTGCTTCCGGTATTCCAGTAAAGATCTCAGTCTCGATTATGGCAGGACGAACAAAAAAAGGCAGTCGCACAGGAGAAATTTTACACGCTTTACGACATGAAAATTTTACACGCTTCTAATTCATTCCCATGCACGCGTTGACGAAAGGTCGTCAAATTGGCAAGATCCGTTGGCAGACTACGTTCCCCAAACGGTTAATCTGGTGATCGCCCGCGAGACTGTCGCCTTTTCTCATCGTGTGAATGAAAGGAAAGGACCGTCGATGGGATTCGTCCTCGCCCCTTTAATGAGGTCCATGAGATTCACAAACCCAGCCGGGAGTTGGGGCATTTGGGCTACGCCGTGGCAATGAGGCATAGTGTAATAGTCGACGCTAAAAACGGGTGGCTCGTGACACCGCGGCAAACTACGAATTGTGCGCTTCTAGAAACCGATATTTACAAGCCAAGTACAGTTTGGGCGTCGTTGGGCGGCGTCTACTCGCGACTAGGGAGGAGACTAGTCGCGCGTTTCATTTACTCTTTTTTTTCCCCTTTCTCTTTGGAAGACACATTTTCTGACGGTCGCGGGCAGCTTCGCACCGCGCGCTCTTTTCTCTTTCTTTCGTCGTTCGCTCTATGCTACACTTGCAGATTCAACAGGAAGGGAGTACCGCAAGCGCGAGTTGTTTCTGACACGAGACGACCCTGTTGCGTATGACGTTTCGCATCGCATCGTATCGTATCGTATTACATCATCGATACTTGTGTGTACGTTCCGGAGATATGTCATTTGGCGGTGTCTTCTCTCTTTCAAGTTCCGTATGGATAACATGTGGATGACGGAACGGATGACGGGATCCGAGACCGATAGAGATAGTGAAAGTCGAGGATACTAGAATCGTGATCGATATGCCGCGAGCAATCTTGAAGAAGGTCGTTAGTACATGTCGAAATTCGCTTGCAAAAGTTTCCGAATCGTTCAGTCGTTTCTAAAGTGCCGGGGTATACTTTGAGTAAGCTACTCGGGCGTCATTACCCTAAAGTGTTAAAGTATGCACTTGTTATATTGAGAGAAACAAAGGACTGGCGTTACGCGGAACGAACCGGGATCCTCTTTTCCGAGATCAAGGATATCGACGGACGAAGATGTTTCGTAGCTTCTACATTAATAGCGGACAAGGCACAATTTTTTTTTAAATATAATCGATGAACGTGACATTGTCAAATCACTGGCTTCCGTAAAATTTTGCACATATTTACACGCGAATTGTGTTAATCGTACGCGCGGTCTGACCGTACGATTGTCTCATCGCTGAGGCACAAGATTTATCGAAAGAAAGCTCTGCACAAAGCTGACAAACATACCTGCAGGGTTTGCACCATTGACTTTGCTGATCTAATCCGTACCTGGCACGGCACTTCTTCATGTTATTACCTAAAAAAGGAAACGGCACCGATTAGTGACAACGATCGTAGATGTCGATTGTTTGCAAGCTCGTGGATTACTAAATTCGACGTAATTACATTCTGTCAAAAGAATGACGTAGTTATTGACATCGCCGTGTGAGAAAGGTGTGAAAAACTAACTTGAGTAATCTATTACCACGTGATAGATAAAAACAGGTGATGACGGATATATAATTTATCGCCTCTGCACGAGGAAAGTGACACGAGTCAAAAATAGCGATTTTACAGGAGAGTGATATTAAACTTTCAACTTTATCCGATATCACTTTATGTACTTAAATGCAGCAATGCGAAACATTTATAACGCTTTTCTCAATAAAAGTATGTATATTTATGAATTGATAAATTATAAAAACGCAAAAACTCCTCTTTTTGACTTGTGCCACTTTTCTTGCGCAAGACGACATGTTATATCGACAAACTGTGCGAAACTGTCGTGTACAATTCAATGCAAATAACGACATAATCTACGTAGTATGGAGTGAATCAGTGCTCGAGTTTTTGCGTTAAACTTATGTTTCTGTGAATGCCAAATGAACTCAACGAATGTCAACTAGTCATGCGTGTAACAGAACGATGTTAACCCCTTGAGGTCCAAGAACAATTGTCGAAACGCATTACGGATTCTTAAGTTTTCCGTTGAAATCTTTTACAAGCTCGACATGTTGTAACCTACGCTAGATTACTTAAAACCGTAGACGTAAATTCCAGAATTGAATAAAATTCTTCTAAAATTAATACGATAAAAATTTATTTCGGCGTTACGACCTCAAAGGGTTGTAAACGATATGTCATAAAAGCTTCATCGAAGACGCTATCGGTACCAAATGTAACACATCAAAGAATAGATTTCACATGAAAGTATGGCGCGAACAAATAAAAAAATACAAGAGTGTAATTTCCATTTCGGATAATCTTATACGGTTGATAGTCTTCGAGGAAGGATCTATGCGTGACAAAGATGCGAATCATTCATTTTGAAAGCGTTGCAAGTAGATTTAAAAAATGGTAAACATTTCAATAAGATATTAAGATAAATTGATGTTGTTCTAGAGAGCGAACTTGTCACTTTCCAAATAAACGACTTATATCTTTGTCAAACAAATAATATGGCATGCAACGTTAAATTAGCTTAAAAACACGATCAAAGATCTACTCGGTTGAAATGTCGTGATTTGTATTATAAACGCAAGGAATATATCTAAAAAATATACATATATCTAAAATATTATGGATGTGAACGCTCACCGCGTGAGCGCTAGTGAACGAAATTTTCGTATGTGGAGAATAAACTGAATGACTCGATTAAAAGTGACGACAGAACGGAAATAATAAAATTAGAATAAAAATCAAAGGAATACAGGCACAACATTGAAACGATCAAAGAAAAATTGATGTACTAATCAAGAATCGAAGTTCAGAAATAAGAGAGTGATAGTGAGAGAGAATAACAGGAAGAAAAGACGAAAGAGGCAAATATTTATAAAATAAGGCAATGTGTGAGAGAGTGAGAGAGAGAGAGAGAGAGAGAGAGAGAGAGAGAGAGAGAGAGAGAGAGAGAGAGAGAACGAGATAAAAAGATAGGTGAAAAGGCTGAAAGAAAATTAAACGCTCAGGATTGTCTGATTGCGGAGTAGGTCCCTGTAAAAATGCAAAATGGCCAGCGTCCCCAAAGTTGTATACGTAATTAATAATAAAATGCATGATGTTTCTGTCTTGATTGTGTGTTTGCGTGTATATGTGTGTGCATGTAATATCCTATGCGTAATATGTGTCAATATGTAATGCAGATATATGTAGGCACGCACGTGCGCATGCGTGTGTGCACGCCCGTGCGATTTTACTAATGTAAAAGACCATATATATAAAAATCACATTTATATATATATATATATATATACAATCTTATATATATATATATATGAACGTATATGCGTGTGTATAATAATATAGTCATAATCAAATATGTGTGTATATATATATATATAATATATAATATAATATAGATATCGACCCAAAACCCCTAAGACGGGGAGGAAACATGCAACATAATATAGTGTAGCAATATAAGAATGTATAATATAATATAACAGTATATATGTAATAATGAATAGGGTGGAGGGGGCGGGGGCTCTTTCCTTATGACGAGGGGATTGTAAGAATTTGTGGAGTGAGGCATGTGGGTACCTCCAGGATCACTGTTTGTGTCTTGTTTGCGCTTCCTCTTCTTAGTTCGGTTGGTATTTGCGCGGGAAGACCAGTCAGGGTACAGCTGCATGTGCAACTGTCTCTCCCGTCGCGCCAACTCATAATACTTGGCCTGTTCCTCTCGCCCTAGCGCGTGCCACTACCGAGAGAGAACCAAACACTTTTTTGTAATTGTACATGAACCGTGTGTCGGCTAAACAATATTTTTAATCAAGAAAAAAGAAAATTCACTAATGCTACTGCCGCCACCCTAATTGCATAAAAATTAGAGTTAGCTCACTCTATTTAGAAATTACTTTTTTTTTATTACTTTTTCGTTATCTATTTCATTTTTTTTTCTTAGCAATATCTCGTTGCCTCATAGCATTTCAGTAACACTGGGGTCCCTACTTTCCGTTTAAAGTGCTAGAAGAACAGCCTAAGTTGTCCCCTCCCCCTCGGTTGCACCGCTATTCGTCGCATATGGTCGATATTAACAACCTAAGGCATACAGGGTGTCTGATAGAGTATACGACTTAGCGAGTAGACGGTAAACAATTTTACTGGATGAACAATTTTACGCGTGCGAATAAAAGAGTGGAAAAATAACGTTGGCACGTTTATACACTGAAGAAAACGTGTTTCTCAAAGATACAGGGTTACCACCTCTCAAGGGTTTTGAAGGCTTATACCCGGGTTCTGGGTTTGGTTATTATTTCTCCGGGTTGAGTGAAATGTAAAACATCTCCTTCGATAATTATCACTTTTTCGCTAAACGCGATCAACGTAACAATCTTACATTGGCCGCTTCCTGAAGGGGGACAAAATTACCAATGAGAGATTTTACGTACGAAATTATATAACCGTTATATTATTTCATTTATATATGTTATCTTAATTTAATTGTTAAAATTTTACTTTACTTCCTGATTTGAATGTAACGATAA